GACGAAAAGCGTCCTCCGCGCATCAATAACGATCGCTTGAAGCGCGAGATAAATGGATTGAGAGGGAGGGACGGCCAGCTGGCAGATAATCTAGCAGGCTCGAGTCGAGGAGAACGGATCCTTATGCTTGTGAGGTAATGTTATACGCCGGAACGTCAGCCAGGGCAGCCCCACGGCACCAACAGCACCGGCAGCAACCACCGCCGCCGTTTTATTATTCATCGCGTGTATTATTTTTACTCCTCGCGCTCTTATGCACTTCAGCGGGCGTCAAATGAATTGTATGCCGCACCGTCGCGACCAGCGCCCATCTATAAATGCATACGCGTATAATGGGCTTTGCGCATAAGTACCTCGATTATTTTACATTCAATTTCAAGCGGGAGTTAATTTTTTTTCTCCGCGCCACCTCGTTGCAAAATCTAGAAATTAAAGCACTCGCTGTTTTATTCTAGATGAAGGCTCGCCGTGTACGGCGCTGGCGAATGAGTATAATCGCTCCTTATTGCCGAGTGGTTGGGCCGGGGATAACACGCTTGTAATATTGTTTATTGAATTAGCCGTAGGGTGAGACGACTATGTCGAGAGCGTTAGTTGAGGCGCACCAGATCATATTTCTCTCTCTCTCTCTCTCTCTCTCTCTCTCTCTCTCTCGTCTATCGCCTCTATCCCTCACTCACTCTTTGCATTTTGTCGTGTTTTTCCCTTCGATATCATCTTTGAAGGGGAGGGAATGGGAAGTGAGAGCGAATGGTATAAATACGGATAATGCGAAATGTATGTAATATGTGTATGGTGTAATCAATGCTTCTGTGCTTGCTCGGTAAATAAGCAATGATTAATAATCTTAGTTTTGATTTCAGAGTCCTAATTACTTTCCAACAATATTAAATATTGCTACTGGTACATTGAAATTACTACCACCAATACGACTACTGCTACTACTATTACCATTACCACCACCAGCGTCACCAACACCACTACTACCACTACCACTACTACTACTACTACTACTACTACTACTACTACTACTACTACTACTACTACTACTACTACTACTACTACCACTACTACTGCTACTACAAAACTTGTCCCTTACATTTTTAATACTAGCTTTAATTACGAGCTTTATTTTTCCTTTACTTTCGCATAGTGATAGGCTCAAAATTTATCAAAATACAATAAAAATAAACATGAATGTTCGAAACAATTTCACGCTTGTATATAATTACTGCGATAAACAATTCGTTAATATTAAAAATTCAATCTTCGCTCGAATTCACAATATATAATACCATTTGTATAGTATCGATGCAACAGGCACAATATTGCGAAATAATAAAAAAAAAAAAAAAAAAAAAAAAAAAATTATTTTTTACATTATGTATTACCATGTACAAAAGAGCCGTTGATAATTGAGAGGAAAAATTAGAATATATTACGAGGGAGAACAAGGGTGTCTTCAGAAACCAAAATTTCCATCGGCTTCAATAAATCATTACTCAATCAGACGAGTGAAATCTTTCTAAACTAGTAAAAGCCGAGTGCAAGCTAATGATAATGAACTCGAAGTAAGTGAAAGTTTTACTCCCGTGGACGACCAACAACTCATTAAACGGTCTCTCGAGCAACCTCTCATTGTTGCAGATTTAGAGTTACGCATCTTCCTATCCACCTTATCCTCCATATACATACTTGCATATATACATATGCGTGCGCGCAAAATTCACACGTGCATGCATATAAGTACGCGCGTACACAGAAGCAGCCATGTGGCTTCCTCCTTTTTCAATGTGCACGCATGTGCGCGTGCAAATGCGTGTACATATATCTTTCGGGCGACGATGCCGGCAGTAACACGAAGAAACCATAATAAACTTGGTAATGGGTAGTTACGAGGCTCTCTCTCTCTTTCTCTCTCTCTCTCTCTCTCTCTCTCTCTCTCTTACTCTCTCTCTCTCTCGTGTGTCTTTCTTTGAAGAAATGTGCGCGCCCGCGTCAGGTGCCGGCTATTAATTTTGGGCACACGTTGATGCCTTTTCCTCGTCCGTGCGAGGAATTAATTGACCGTCTGGCACACGTCGACTGTCCAGGAATGTCGATCGCTCGACAACGCAATAGTTCACTCGTCGATTCGAGCGTTGTCTTCGCCGTCCCCTCACTACCAACATCGGCAATCCTCTTCGAGCCATACCTCCTTCTCATTGCCCTCCTCTCACCGATATCGAGGCAGGACTCTTGCACTTTATTCGCTATCTCGCTTTTCGAGCTTCCCTATTATTCCCTATTCCCACCTTGTTATATTGTCACATCATTTTATCGATGAGATAAATCTAGTCATATGCGCTATAAATTGCCACTCGCATAAATTCAATCGCAGCCTAATTGTCTTGTCTCTCATCCGTACTCTTACTATTCGTTGAGCACTCGGTGCGGTTCGAGCGTAAACAAAATGTCGAAAAATCACAAAATATATAGCAACGGATCGTTGATAATTATTACTTTGGAAATATTTATCCAGTAGCGACGAGGCTTAAGCACTAAGTGGCTAGAGTTTTAATTTTAATTAATACCTACGGCCTTAACGACTGTTGCGCCAAGTATATAATTTAATAATTTTCCATAGCTGAGCGTTTAATACTTTCCTGACAATAGCTCAGGATATTCAACTAATGACGGCTAGATTGACATTAGCGCACGATGAACACCTCACTTACACAACACCGGAAAAGCAATTACACGTTAAGAGCCTATGAATAATAATATTTAATCAAAGAGTTGTTACAAATAAAATTAATACAGCCACTATGTAACAAGATTAATCTTATGTTACAAATTAAAGATTTATCGTTTTACTCGTCTCGATTTTAACCAAAATCATTCGCAAACCGATCGCAAAGATCACAAACCGCCAGTGCCTACCCTCACCTTTCAAATCCTAATTTCCCGATTAACACGTCGCCGTCGTGAGAGAATTAAATTAGCCAAATAAGCCGGAAAGTCGACGCCATCTTCATTCGGCTTGAGCGCCTCTCCGGACGGTCGAGCCAACAACAATGTACATTTCGACGGGAGCGCGAAAATCACGAGTCCTGGCTCATTAATTGGCTCCGTCCGTCGGCTCGCGGGGACCTAACCACGGCTCCGAGCCATAAATTCGAATTAAGGCCGCTCGTTCTTCTCGCGCTATTATGCGCCGCGACGAGCCAAGACCCGTGACGAATTGACGTCCCCGTGCCTCCCGACGACGGCCAAATTGAATTAATTTCGCGAGCTACGCCAAGACATGAATGCCAGAGGATGGCACTGGTTGGCTGTAAGCGACATCTTCTTCAACGAGATATCGTGACTAGGAGCGAGACTACGTTTTTCGGGGATTTCTTGAACGATAATCGCTGCTCTGCACTCGAGCTTGAACAATCTATTTACGTACGCACGCGACAACCACACACACACACACACACACACACACACACACACAGAGAGAGAGAGAGAGAGAGAGAGAGAGAGAGAGAGAGAGAGAGAGAAAACAAAAATTGTGTATTATTTTCAGTCCCTTGCCTCCTCAAAGTCAACAGAATCATTCGTTTACGAAGGCATTGGCAACAGGATAACTATTTGATAACCGTTTGTCCCTTCATTACATTTCGTTCGCCCAACGATTTTCGGCCTTTTACAAATTAATTAATTGATTATAGGAAAAGACAGACGGTAAATGTGATTTTTTCGAAACACTCCACATAATCATCTACAGTTCATCGAAAAGAAAGAAAACAAAAATTTTAGTTTAAGACTAAAAAGAACCGTTAAGCGTTATAAGGAAATTTAAATTCATTTATTAGACTCGACAATATAAACATCATTACGATAATCAATGACAGTTGTCGAATAAAAGTAATACATAAAATTTTATGCTACCCTAAGACATTCACCATACATAACAAAAGTAGAGTATAAATTTTATAGTCTAACGGTACTTTCACTTTATTTCCAAATACAATAACGAATTTGCAATTTCAAACGTAATTGGAAAGAAGTAATTTTCATAAATGAAAAATAAAGTAGACAATAAAAGCACGCGTTCTACAAAATAAAAACTTTATTAGTATTGTAAATGAACTCGCAAAAAGTTATGTACGTTGATATATAGTTCATCAATTACACTTGACTAGATATGCAATTATTGCAAAAAAAAAAAAAAAAAAAAAAAGAAAAACTTCATAAATATGATTAATTTACAAGCAACGAGATTCGGTATTGTGTAAGCAATTTATATGTTTAGTGTTCATTAAATTATAATGATTCTCCTACGAAATAAACTGTATTTCTAAATTTCTGCTAATTATTTATCGCATAACATTAGATAATCGCGGGCCATTGGGCTGACATATCATTATAAAAGACTTTTAATCGATCGGACTTGTAATTTGAGATAAAGTGAAATTATACATTTATTTAACGATAAGTGCTATTTTTATAATGAAAATGTTTTACACGAAACTCGTGAACCTTCGGCGACCAATTCCGTTTCAACCAAAGCTCTCGTACAATCATTAAAAAAAGCTGTTCCATCCATCTCGTTTTGAAAATGAACATGCCATGGGCAATCGTTATTAATCGTCTATTTATTGAAAAGGAAAGATGAAAAAAAGGAAGAAGACGAAAAATGAACCAAAAAAAAAAAAAAAAAAAACAAATGGAAAAACTAGAAACAAAAGTAGAATGAGGAAGGAAAAAATGAAAAACACGAAGCTCCTGTGAAATATAGTTTTGGCTCAGTCGCTTTATTCCGGTAACCGGAGACGCGAGTCCCGAGTACGACGAACTCGGCGAAAACGAATGAAAAATCGTCGTCGCTGACACGTAGATGCCCGGAAAAAAGGCGTCACGAGGATAGCATTTCCTCCGGCGCGGTGTCGTTAAGCGACCCGTAAAGCGTAGCGGCGAAAAGAAAATCACGCGTCCTCCTATACTACACGAATACACTTTGACTATTCCAGAGAGGGAGCCGAGCGTTTCCGGGGTGGCGCAATCGTCGGGGCCGGCGGCCGCCCAGCAGATCCAGGAGTCGTCGGTCGACACGGAGGACGAGCCCGAGACCGACGACACCGGCAGCACCATTGGCAAGGCGCCCTCGCCCCTCAACCCCCTCCTCCAGGAACGCTCAAACTGCGAAGAGTTGAGACACGTCGTATGCCATCTGGAGACGAAGGACCTCTGGGACAAGTTCAACGAGCTCGGCACCGAGATGATCATCACCAAAACTGGCAGGTCCGTTCTCACATTCGATCGCTTATTATTGTTATTGTTGTTGTTATTATCGTTGTCGTTGTCGTTGTCGTTGTCGTTGTCGTTGTCGTTG